CCTTTTCTAATATTAAACAAATACTACACTAAACAATGCTTGACTTAAAAATGGATTTTAAAACTTCGGTGGCATATAAAGACCCTCTAATAAAATCTACCATTCTATTTAATTTAGAATATATATGACTTTTCACATATCTATATTTTATAAGTTTGCTCAATTAGTTGAAAAATACTGCTGTATAATAATTTCCAGATACTTTGGAAGTTAAAGCGTCATATTCTGAACACTTTTGACGATCATTATATCTAGCCCCTATGTAAATTCTTGACACATTCAAACATTCAAGTTAGGGTTAAAACAATCTCTATTTTCTGCCTTGTGTTTCCTTTAGAGAAAGGCTGTCACTCTAGAACACTGTAGCAATTATGCTTGAGCCATCCTTTAAGAATTAAGTAGTATATTATATACATTTTGGATAAAATATTAAATACAAACATATTCCTAAGCCAGTGTTTAATTAATTTTTATTTAACAGGTGTAATGTCTCCTCAGAATTAAATGTCTTCTTATGAAGTGAAATTCAAGTTAGTTCCTGGAGGCAGGAACTCAAGCAATGGAAGCAGGAGAAAGGAATCGAAGCCAGGGCCATAGAGGAGCACTTCTTATTGGCTTTCTCCCTCCTATGCCTTGCTCAGTCTGCTTTCATGTAGCACCCAGGATGAACAGCACAGACATGGCACTGTCCAGGGTGAACTGGACTCTCCCACATCTATCCTCAATCAAGAAAATGCACCGTAGACTTGCCTACAGGCCAGTATGGTGGAGATATTTTATCAACTAAGGCTCCCTCCCCCAAAATGACTATAACTCTCCAAAGCTGACATAAAATTATCCAGAATATGCATGTACTTTTTTCTGCAACTTGGAAATAATGTAAAATGATCATTACTTTATTTTAAACATTTTTACCTTAGATGATTTTCTATTGAGATGTACAGTAAAGAGGTAATCATATAGCTAATAGTCAAAACATGATAAATGTGTATCTTGTTTATGGCTCTTGAAAGTTAGAGATAGAGATTAATAAACTCCTAGATTAGGGCACCATGGAGATACTGTTAACTCCAGTGTAGGAGGGCTTCTAAATGACTGTTGAAAGCTAATGGGGAAACCCCACATCTAATCTGGTAGCTTGCTTTAATACTCTTTCCAAAATGCTTTGTCTTTCTAATGACTTATTCATCACTTTGCAAGTTAACCTTTCTCCTATGCCATATTGGTGGAAGAGTCCAGGGTCTGACTTGAGAGACAAGTACTCTACTGCTGAACTATACCATTCAGACAATAAATATTTTACCAAGAACTATCATCTCTCTTGCTTCCTTGTTTGTTTGTTCTGAGAAATATATGTTAATAACTGTCATTGTATTATATCCATTTTGCAGAGATGAAATTATAGCTCAGCAAATTTAAATCACATAGCTAGTAAATCATACAGCTTGCCTTAATGTTCATTTCCTGGACTCTGATGTTTGTGTCCTCAACCATAACGAACTTAGACATTTTCAGGTATCCAGGTATTTATTGAATATATTCTTCCCATCTGAATTAACAATCAAATTCTTATTCTTGCTATGCAATATGAACATACTGATCAAAGTTCTCTGACTGTTAACAGAATTTATAATGTCTTTTTTCTATAAATCTCTTTTGGAAAACCATTCACTTCAGTGCATAAGTTTGTACTGTAGTGCTAATCTCTTCATGTATTCTTTGTGTAGACACTCTCGCAGGAAAATTATCATATGATTACTAAACAAAGAATTCCTAGAAATTCTTGAGATTTTATGTCACTGAAAATGAAATATTGCTTGGAGCACTTAAGGACCATCCCACCCAAGTCACACTATAAATAACAGTTACAGAGCAGGAGAATGAGGCTGCTGGTGGGTTGTAGACTTCAGGGGTTTTCACAGGTGTTGACCTTGAATTTTGACAGGGAGTTCAGTGTGATCTGAACTACTATGTAGTTGATTTGTTGTTGACTGTCATGCCATTGGTAAGTGAATGAATATCCTGTGATCATTTGACTATAAACCTTTGGTGACTTGCTATGGGATAATGGTTTGTACCCTGTCAATAGTATTTAATAAACTGCTGATTGGCCAGTAGCCAGGCAGGAAGTATATACAGGACAGCCAGGCAGGAAGTAGAGGCTGGGCAACAAGAACAAAATTCTGGGAATAAGAAAGCTCACTCTGCAGTTGTTTCTCAGACACAGATGTGACTACCTCGCCAAAAAAGGTACCAAGCCACGTGGCTAACACAGACAAGAATTATGGGCTAATGTAAGTTAAAGGATTAGTTAATAAGAAGCCTGAGCTACTAGGTCAATTAGTTTATAATTAATATAGGCCTCTGTGTATTCTGTTGTGACTGAATGGCTGCCTGACTGGGAAAAACTGGCTGGTACAGAAACTCAGTCTACAGAATGCTGCTCGGTTAACAGTGATTTCTACATGTGTCCATAAAAGTGAGAATCCTGTAGGGTGGAGAGATGGTTCAGGGGTTAAGAGCATTGACTACTCTTCTAGAGGACCAGGGTTTCAATTTCCAACACCAACATGACAATTCGCAACTGTCTGTAATTCCAGTTCTGGGGACCTGACACTTATGGCAAAATATCAACATGTATGAAATAAAAATAACTAAATAAAATAATTAAAAGACTAAGAAAACTAGGTTACAGCTTTTTAAAAAAGTGGGAATGCTAGAGGTTAGGATGTCTTTTACTGAAAGATTTCAGTTTTTCTGAGGCTGGAGAGAATTGCCTTCTTAATAGAGATGTCATACATACATACATACAGACAGACAGACAGACAGACAGACAGGCAGGCAGACGTGTGTGTGTGTGTGTGTGTGTGTGTGTGTGTGTGTGTGTGTGTGTGTG